TGGTCTTGTGACGCAATCACCCTACGGACATGATAAAATGTAAAGGTATCCCTGTTCCAGGCCGTGGAGGCCCTTAGGGTTGTGAGATGTTGAGGCTCCCACACTTTCTCTGGACAGTCGGCTCAGAGATGGCGGTGAGGTTGTCAGGCCGACCGCCCTTTACCCCACGGGAACATTCCTGGTACTCATTTCTGTTAGAGGCTGAGTCGACGCCCCCAGGACCATAGTGCGGCTTGCGGCATAGGGGCTCAACGAACTACGCTACCGCTTGCCACCACCCACAGAAGAACACTGGAGGGCACATAACATGACTTTCCCCATGATCATTTCCCGATATAATTTATTTTCTTTGTTCGTCAGCGTTTAAGATTTTCCGTGAAATACGCGGTACATTGTGTGTTCGTTACTCGGACCCACTAATTGCGTTTATGAAGAAAACAGTCTTCTGGGATATGGCGCCGTGTTAACCGACGTTTCGGACATTAGTCTATTTGCACCTGCTCACGCTTGTTCTTCGCTTGCGGATTTTCTTCTTTTTTCTTCTACCCTGAAGATGGAGGCGATACTTTCCTCCGAAACGTCGGTTAACACAATATCTACACGGCGCCATATCCAAGAAGACTGCTTTCCTCATAGTCACCGCCGTGAAAACCTCAAATCTTACACAATTGCGTTTATCTCTGAATACTGTGTGATTTCCGAAAATAGTGTTGGAATTCGCGGAGCAAGAATCGTGCAGTGATGTCTAAGGGGGTAAATAATGTTAAACAGTATTCAGACTGGAATACAAATTGTAGTTGTTGTTGCAAGATTGCAGTTTTTGTAGATTGTATCAGAGCTCGTTCGCTTCAAGTTCACTTTCCGACCTAGGCAAAAGAAGCCAGGAATGGATGTCACATTCCTGGGGTGACGTGACTCTGAGGTAACTGACCGGGGCTGCACGCGGCCAGCAGCGAACGCACCAGTAATCGAGCCGTACTCGCTCCGATCTGCGCAACAAAGAAACCTCTTCGGCTCTCAAGGTCGTTTGCGCATGCACTCCGATCAGTTTGTTGCAATCAGACCAACCTTGGCGAACTTCTCTCTGCAGCTTTTTGTCTCACCTCATTTTGCTTCTGTCCACACTGGGGAGCAGGGAGGTGATATTGCTACCTTCAGAACAATAAACATTTCTTTCTGTCGTTATTGTGTACGTGCCATAACCACTGCACGCACTGTTTTCATGACGTCATCCTCCCAGAGGCTAAAGCAAACCGTCAAGGTCGTGATGTTGACTCTGTGGGCAGCTGGAGTGGCCTTGCGCGCCTGGCTAGCGGGCGTTCAACTCTTGCTAGCGGCCACAAGAACAATGTGGCGTCGTGTATAAATACACGCCCTGCCCTCAGATCACTGGATCCAACACAGTAAGCTGCCACCTTGAGGCGACGAGGTGACAGAAGGGCGCTCACGAGTCTGGAGAAGACGGAGCAAGGAATTGGGCGACGAGGTGACAGAAGGGCGCTCACGAGTCTGGAGAAGACGGAGCAGGGAATTGGGCGACGAGGTGACAGAAGGGCGCTCACGAGTCTGGAGAAGACGGAGCAGGGAATTGGGCGACGAGGTGACAGAAGGGCGCTCACGAGTCTGGAGAAGACGGAGCAGGGAATTGGGCGACGAGGTGACAGAAGGGCGCTCACGAGTCTGGAGAAGACGGAGCAGGGAATTGGGCGACGAGGTGACAGAAGGGCGCTCACGAGTCTGGAGAAGACGGAGCAGGGAATTGGGCGACGAGGTGACAGAAGGGCGCTCACGAGTCTGGAGAAGACGGAGCAGGGAATTGGGCGACGAGGTGACAGAAGGGCGCTCACGAGTCTGGAGAAGACGGAGCAGGGAATTGGGCGACGAGGTGACAGAAGGGCGCTCACGAGTCTGGAGAAGACGGAGCAGGGAATTGGGCGACGAGGTGACAGAAGGGCGCTCACGAGTCTGGAGAAGACGGAGCAGGGAATTGGGCGACGAGGTGACAGAAGGGCGCTCACGAGTCTGAAGAAGACGGAGCAGGGAATTGGGGCACATTACGTAATGATGAGCTGCACTGGCTATGTAGCACGAGTGGCGAAACAGGGAATTCAGTGTCTGTCAGTTGTTTCCCTGCAAAGTCCGACACACCTGTCTACAGTTTGTAATACCATGATATACAACATTTGTAAGCAGCACCCTTCAACCTCGATTTCTGTAAACTTTCCTACCCTTCTCACTTCGCCCTGGCTAACCTCAGCAGCTGATATAACTTTTGATAAGCTGGGAAATGGGTGTATTTTTCTTCATATTTCTCTTGATACTCAGTAGCTGCAGAAGCTGATATGAAGTCGTTAAGTAATTTGCTGAAGAACACATTTTGCCCACTTTTCTTAATATTACGAGGGATGATGTCCCTGCTGAGACACAGTACGAGCACCGGGAACGTCAGCACGTTATGGTGTGCTGCACACGTTCCCGCGGCACAGGGCAGGTGCACGCACCTCAGCCTGACAGACGTGTGTGGACAGAACACGCAAATAGAGGAGCAGCAGACAAAAGAGCCCACCTGCTCTCGTACCTTACGTCACTCTGTGCCGTCCGAATGTTCCTGTCGTGTGCATTTTCTTCAAAGCAGTGAAAATGTGAACAGAAATCGTCATCATTGCCTTACTCCCTGATTTCTAATTTCTGAGAAACAGTTGTCCGTTGGGGGCACTATGCTACAAGCCGGAAGGTCGTGGGTTCGATTCCCAATGAGGCCCTAATCCTTCCAGCCGCACTATCACCCTAGGGTCGACTAAGCCTCCAACAGAAATGAGTACCACGAATCTTTCTGCGGGGTAAAGGACGGCCGACACGTAAGGCTGACAGCCTCGCCGCAATCTGTGGATAGTCTAGAAAATGTGGGAGCCACGACGTCTCACAACCCTATGGGTCTCCACAGCCTACTGTGCCTCATAGTTTTGCGTTAGTTCACAAGCCTTACTAGTTCATAAAACTTTGGTTCCTCAGTCGACGGGAAAGCATTTAGATTCTAAAGGCTTCTGACGCTGCTGCGTGACACTGAGAACTATTGGACTTTCGGAATTCGTCCCTCGTCCGGTGTTCTAAAGGATCGACCGTTTCGGAAAGTGGATCTGTTTCCGTCCTCAGGTGAGGGGGCGGGAGACACCTGCCCTGTCGTGTCTCCAACCCCCCTCACCTGAGGTCGGAAAGAGACCCAGTTTCCGAAACATTTTTTCATTACAATACCGGACGAGGGACAAGTCCAAAAACCCAGTAATTCCGAGTAAAGCATTTGTCAGACAAACCTTTCCATTCGGCTTCATTGTTGAGGCGAAATGAAAGCCAGTCTTGTTGCCATGGAAAGAGAACAAAACTGAGGCCTTCCATTGTTTCAGTTGACGCTGCAGCTCGAAGACTGGCATGAAGCTGGATTGGCTTTGGGTGAGGGGTGGAAGTGGAGTGGAGTGGAGTGGAATGGCTGAAGTTCGAGGTTCTCACGGCGCTGAGTAGGACGATGACTGTCAGCTTGGAAGTGTGGTAGATCGTTACCAACGTTTCGGAGGCCCGTACCACCTCAATCTTCAGGGTGAAGATGAAGGCACTAGTTCTCTCCGAAATGTTGAAGACAATCTGCCTCCGAACCCTCAACATGGAGGCAGAAGGTTGCTCCGAATATTTGTTCGCCATTTTCAAATTTGGGCCGCCTCTGTTGTCTAGCGGTCCGAGCTCCTGGCTACAGATCCAGAGGCCCCGGGATCGATTCACGGCCCTGCCAGATTTTCTGAGAAGTAATGGGTCTGGAACGGGGTTCACTCAGCCTCGCGAGGATAACTGAGGAGCTACTTGAATGGAAAAGTAGCGGCTCCGGTCTAGAAAACCGAAATTAAAGGCCGTGGGGATCCGTTGCGCTGACCACGTGACACCCCCTCTCCTCAGAAGTTGGCACTAACTTCGCCGACAAGCGGCGGTCGCTCGGGTCTGTATAGTTCTCTTGCGGACTAAAGGCCACGGAATTTCTTTTAAATAATTTATTCTCTTTCGCTAATGTTGTTAAGTTAAATAAGTTGAAAGGAGCCGATCACAGTGGCCGCACGGTCCAAGGCACGAACCGTCTTCGCCCCTAGAACACACGGATCGTGGGTTCGAATCCCACACGAGGTATGGCTGTCTGTGTGCATTTGTTCTGTGTATGTTGTTCTGTGTGTAGGCAGAGGCATTGCGACGGGCTGATTCCCCGTCCAATGAGATCTATAGACTGTATAGATTGAGAAACTGAAGAAGCGACGAAGGTCCACAAGGAATGTAGGGCCATAGATAGATAGCAATGAGATGGGCGGGACATGTAACACGAAGTAAGCAAATGAGAAATTCTAATAAATTCCTTTTCTCAAAATAATTAAGTGGAAGAGACCAATTTGGAGGTGCGTTAGGAAAACGGGGCATGACGACTGAGTTCGGCTGGGCTGGCTGACAGGGTTTGCGGCGAAGGATTCCGTGGACAGAGGAGACATCTTGAATAACCATCAACTGCCGGAGACCGCGAAATTGTCGAAGGTTCGAAACTTGAAGGATATGTTTAAAAAACGCAGAATGCATTCATTTCCGGTTGTGTCTCACACAGTCTACCTTGCAGGCGCAGTGTTTCCACAACTCTTCGGCAGCTGGCGCCCTTTGCCAACATGATGGATGTTGACCTCTAGCAATTAAGGGAATTTCCCAACCCGGTCAGCATTACAAATATGAACATTTGTGGTCGGTTTGGATGGTGGTCATTACTTCGTGACCATGAATCCCAGTCCGACACCCAGCAAGGACACTGAACAAAGAAGATGGAGCGTTCGGGCCGACGGCCGATCGAATTAGTGGCTCTGCCCACGCTCTCGCTCGTCTCCTGGCCTCGCCGCCTCGCCAGTGGCGTACCGTAGAGTGGGGTCTGCACTTTCATTTCGAAACATCTGCTGACTGTATAATTGAGGTGATGATGGTTGTTGCAGAGGGCTCAACATGCCCTTCAGCGGCGTCCTTCAAACCCTACACCAAACTTCCAGGACTAAGAATCGATGCTGCTTGTTGTAGGATTCATCTCCCGGACACAGGACTAACTGCGAGGTAAGTGTGGGAATGAGTGTCTGTTTGGGTGTGATTGGCGTGAATGTGTTTGAGAGCTCCGAAACACGCGGATGCAAG